TGCAAACAGAGAAGAAGAAAGAATTGGCACACAAATTCGAAACTTGTTTCCTGCCTTGTGCTGGCTGTGGGGGAACCATCAGCAATCTGCCTCCCATTTCTGAGATGCTATTTGCCAATGCTGTGACTGAAAGGGGCACATTGCAAGGGTCTGCCAAAGCGAATTTTCCACAGCCCCAAAGCAGCCGGCTGTCCATGCTGCACACCTAAGACCGCTAAGGTGAGAATCATGGAACCCACGGCAGAAACAAACATAGGCAGACAATGCTACATTCCAGACAACCATCAGGCAAGCAAGCACCCCGCGGAACAAGAAGCTGAGGATATCCATCTTCCTTGAGGGATCTCCCTGCTCTATGGAGATCGACACCAGATCATCACTGACCATCATGTCCTGGGCCACACTGAATAAGGCTGTCCCCAATTTGATAAGGCACAAGCTGAGGGTTCCAGACCTGTACCTAAACGACTACCAAGGCAACTGAATCCCAGTTCTGGGCCAAGGTACTTTTTGAGTGCAATTTAAGTCCTTTGATGGACTGCTTTCTGTGACTGTGGTTGGTGGAGCCCTGCAGAGTCTTCTAGGCTTAGACTGGTTCAAATCCCTGGGCCTGGGGGTGACCGGTATCAATGCCATTTGAGATGACAGCGCCAAAGAACTACTTATGGAGTTCGAGGACATCTTCAGCACTGGTCTTAGGCAAGTATGTGGGGACACCAATTTCTTTCAATTTGGACCCCAATGTAGCCCCTATTAGGTTAAAGCCCCAGAGAGTCCCTTTCATTCTCCGACCCAAAATTGACCTTGAATTGGACAAACTAATTGGCTACCATGGCAGAAGCGGTCATCAAGGCACTACGGAGACTTTTCTCCACTCACGGCCTGCCTGATGTCCTAGTTTCAGACAATGGTCCCCAATTTACGACCATGCAATTTGCGACTTACTTAGCTTCTCAGGAATGAGACATGCCCTGGTCGCTCCATTCCATCTAGCCAGTAATGGACAGGCAGAGAGAATGGTGCAAAGCCCTATCTAGAATGGGGCCAGGAGACTGGCAAATACGGGTAGACCAATTCCTCCTTTACCAGCACATCACACCAAGTGCAACCACCGACAGAAACCTCGCCGAGCTTCTGGTGGGTTGCTGGCTAAGATCGTCCTTAGACCGGCTACCCCCAAATTACTCTGCTGCATCACCCCCTGATTCGACCAGCAAACTTAGACACTTTAGTGTAGGGGATCGAGTTTATGCCCACAACTATGCTGGGTGGGGGCTCTCTGGATTCCTGCCACTGTTCCAGGAATCACCGGACCTCGCTCCTACCAGTTAGAGCTCGAGGATGGTAGGATTTGGAGGCGGCACATTGACCAACTCCAAGGCTGCCTCTCTCAATCCAACTTTAGGCAACCAGAGGTAGCTCCTGCACAAGTTAGCCAAAGCCCTACCCAAAAGGAGCACGAATTCACTCCTTCCACAGACTACTCAAGCCCAAAGGTATTGGGGTACTTATCTGGTGAAGTTGCAGGGTTGCAATGAGTTCCGCGCAAACTGGCTCCAGAAACTCCTGCAGCACACTGTGGAAAGTTCCAGGAGCTTCCACCAGGCAAAGCCAGAGAGACAACAGGTCCATCCAACCTGACCGACGTTCCAGCGCCGACTGAACTGCCACTAGAAAACCCGCCTACATGCATGAGTATGTTACAAGCCGGATCAGCCCAACTAAGAGGGGAGGGGCGTTACATACTGACAGCCAGTATGGTAGTTTCCACCAAAGTCCTCTGATCTGGTGAGAACACTCAAATACTCAAATGTGATTGGTCGAGAGGTCTAACAGCTCCCTATATAAGGGCTGCTGCCAGACAGAGTCTTCACTGGATTGTACATAGTTGTCACTTAATAAAGACCTGCTGTTGCTGAAGCCTGAGTCTTGCCTCTTCCATTCACCCTATCTAACAATTACAGTATACATTTGCTTTACATGTGGGGATAATTATACATATATAATTTGAGTAGTCCATCTGCATTTCAGAGCTTTTGATTATTTGACTGCAGCCTCTTCTCTGCCTCTGAAAATGAGCGATTTATGTTAAGCCAATCTTTCCTTGTAAAAAATGTTTCACTGGGCACTCCCCTCTGTGCCCAGCGAAAATCACTCATAGGTGTTTACTAAATTATGAAGTGGAGTGGAGTGCTGCCTTCAGTTCAAACTACACTGGCTGGCTGGCTGATTCTCTGCACACATGTTGGGAAGAAGACCAGTTGGGTATAGTGGTAAAATTGCTGGCCTTGTAACCAGTTTGTATTGAGTTCTAGGCCTGTCTTAAACAAGAAAGGCAGCTGGAGGACTTTGAGCCAGTCACTTGCTCTCAGCCCAATCCACATCATAGTATTGATGCGAAGAAAATAGGAGGCAGGAATATTGTGTATTGCCACATTGATGTACCGTATTTTTCGGAGTGTAAGACACACCTTTTTTACTCAAATAAGAGGCTAAAAATCTGGGTGCGTCTTATACACCGAATGCAGCATTTTTTGCCTCCCGAAGCCCCACCCCTTCACCAAAATGGCCACGCATAGCCTTATGGAGGCTTTCAGAGAGCTTCTGGGGGCTGGTGAGAGCAGAAATGAGCAAGAAACAGGCCCTCCCCCCGCCCCCCGCAGCTCCCAGCAACACTATATAAACCTCCATAAGGCTATGCATGCAATTTTTTGACAAAGAACGGGCCCATTTTTGAAAAAAACAGGCCATTTTTTCTTGTCCCCCCCAGGAGCACTCTCTAAGCCCACCCCCCCCAGGGCTATTCATGTCTTTTTTTGAAAAAAGGGCCCATTTATATGAAAAATGGACCATTTTGGGGAGGATTGCAGAGTGCAAAAACTTTTTTTTTCCTTTTGGAAAGCTCTTTAACTGATTGATGAGAATTACATTGATCAAGTGCTATGTCAGCAGAAATATTTACCTATCTACTGTATTTCTCTCTATCTCTATTTCTCTCTCTATCCCTCTACCTACCTACCTACCTACCTACCTACCTACCTACCTACCTACCTACCTACCTACCTACTTACCTACCTAATTACTATCTCTCCCTACCTACCTACTGTATTTTTCTCTCTTTCTCTCCCCTCTATCTACCTACCTACCTATTTTTTTTAAAAAAATTGCCTCTTCAAAACCTTGGTGCATCTTATACTTCGATGCGTCTTATACTCCAAAAAAGAAGGTAGATAAAAATGTAATAATAACAACACTTGACTGCAAGCAAGACCTGCTAAGAGCACAAAATAGATAAATAGTGGAACATGAAGACCCTAAAGTGCTCTGGCACTTTAGAATTCAAACAGACAAGCACTTGCATAATATCCAAGTCTTAATCATTATTGATGAGACAAAAAGACACTGTAGACACTGTAGTACCTGGAAACAGCAGAAGGAAAAAGAAAGAACTGGAGAAAAATAACAAAAAATACAAATATTTGCAAATAGAACAATTGTGGCCAAAGATAGCAAAGATAGTACTAATAGTAATAGGTGCCATGGAGGCAATCCCAAAACATTGGAGCACAACATGAACACCATCAGCATTGACAAAACCACTGTCAGTCAATTGCAAAAGCCACCTTTGCTTGGAGTAACTTATTTCCTGCAACAATACCTTTAACACCCTCGAACACTAACATTTGCCTATCCCAGGTCCCTTGGAATGACTCAATAGCTGAACAAAAAGGAGGCAGGACCTGACGTCGCAACGACATGCCGTGCGATCTCAGAGCTCCGAGATCGCAGTCGATACTTTTGCCACTAGATGGTCCTTTTGGACCTAAACCATCCCAAAGAAACGGTGACAGGGAAGAGTACATCTTGCTGATCTCAGGGACATCGCAAAGTCCCTGATTGATCCAAGAGAATCTCTTTTTGCCAGCGACAGAAGTATAGCCAAAAGCTGCTGAAGTTGGGATGGCTCCGCAACGGGAGGAAAGCAGAAAGAAAAAGTGTGTCCATCTAGTGAGGAAATTTTATTGTTATAAAGGAGACTGCCCCCCAAAAATCAAAGCTAAATTAAACTTGTAAAGAAAAGAAAAATAAGCGGCAAAATTAAGCTATATTGGACAATATATTATCCTTTTTTTAATGGATGGAAGTTTTGCAAGTATTCCCTACTTTTTAAAGTGAAAGTATTGGTTTTTCTTCTTCTATTTATTTTTTTACCTATGGATTAAATCTTTTATTTATTTTTATAATATTGGTTTGGAGGGTTTTTTTCTCTTTATTTTGCTTCATTTAAGAATTTTGTTTCTTTTAAGTCTGGAATATAAAGAAGATATAAAAGGAATATAAAGAGGGTAGTAACATCAGAGGGAAAAGAAGTTACACTGCCACTTGAAGGTTGGAGGCTGAGTCCTGGGAATTTTGCTTTCTCTTTTTTCTCTTTGATTATTTTGACTTTGCACTTCAAACGTTTCAGCTTATTTTCAGAAGAGATAAGGAGAAGAGCACAAGTTGTTTACACAGGTGCTCTTTGGATGCTTCTTTGGCAGCTGGAGTGAAGTGTTAACAAAATCTTATTTTGAAACTAGAGTGGCAGTGTTTACTAGTTGGAAGTATGGCATATCATCAAAAAGAAACCATAACATTACAACAGATTATGTTTGAAATTCAAAAATTATTAGAAACAACAGAAATCCCAAAAATACTTTTCAAAAGACAATTGGATTTTCTTGGGGGTTTTTCTCCTTAAAAACTAATTTCTCATCCAAGAATCTTCTTCAGTCATTTTCAGACCCGATGAAGCTTCTTGGCTGAGAAGTGAAGCTTTGTGACAACCATGACCTGAATGATTGAGAATCTCTATAGACGTTCCAGTAGGATACTAGCCTAAAAGTGTAACTTGATTTGCAATTGTCTTTCTTAAATCTGTAACAATAATTGAAAGTTTAATCTGATCTCTCTCTCGAAAGTGGGAAGAATTAATGTATTTCTTTACCTCTCTCATTCAGGACTATCATTTCTTTTAATAATCAACTATACCTTCTTGCACTGCTGGCCAAACGCATGGGCTGAGATTCTGCGCTTTGCAGACCGTTCCTTCTATAAGGTGATAACAAAGGGAGGGGGAGGTTGCAAGAAAGATATGGGGAGTATAGATTTCTTTCCTCATGGATATACTTGAATGGTCCATTGGCCAAGAAGAACACTTTGAAAAACTTTGCAAAGAGTTCTGAGAGGTTATGGCTCTGAAAGAAAAGCAAATTTGAACTTGCTAAAATGAATGTACTGGAGAAGCTGACACTAAAGTATCTGATTGCTTGTAATCAAAGTAATAAATATAGGTGGTCCCTCATTTAGCAACTGCTTGCAGTTATAACTATGATGATAAAGTAAAGTGACAATCAAAGCTCACATTTACCACCTTTGCACTCTGTAAAGTGAAGGAAAGTTGAAGTAAGATTGCAAGCATGTTTTATCCATACTGATTGTTTTAATCGGCTTGCAAAACATTTTAACATATGGCACCAGAATCACTTGAGGTGAGATAGGCAGCTATGTAAATTTGGCAATAAATAAACCTGGCAACTAAATAACATAACTGTTTAACTTAATGACCACTTAACAACTTTGTTGCTGCTCTCAATTGTGGTCACTAAATGAAGACTACCTATGCAAACATGTATGTTTAGGGACTATATAAAAGAGATCAAATAACATGTTCTAAAATTGGCAATTGCCATTTCCCACTGATGGAAATTCTAATCCCGACTGCCCTTGTAACTCAAAAATTACCTGTACACAGACAATCTAGAGTGGATTGTTTCTTTCCTTGCCAAAGTACAGTGATGTTCCAGTTTCAAGCCTGGCATTCTGTTTTTTTTTCATGCTCTTTATTTCATTCTCCCTGCCTAGGACTGGTGGAATTCCACATCATTCTCGACATTTTTTCGGTCATGGAATGGGATTGTACAAGATTGGCTGTACTGGTATATTTATCAAGATTTTCTGTGGGTAGGTAAGGCTGTAATGGGTTGTGATAGTAATCTTTGGGGAGAGAAGGAAGAACTGCAGCCAGGGCAATGGTCAAGAGGAGAAGTCTCAGCCCCACAGCAGGAATGGGGGTAGAATAACATCTCAGAAGAGACTCTCCCTTGTTGTTCAGAAAATAAATGCCAGGAAGGGGGGAAGTGCTTTCAGACTTGCAAGATTCTATTACTGTAACCTTGCAATAAAAGTACTATTATTCAGTGGTGGGATTCAGCCAGTTCACACCACTTTGGGAGAACCAGTTGTTAAGTTTCTGAGCAGTTTGGTGAACTGGTTGTTGGTAGAAATCATTAGGGCAGAGAACCAGTTGTTAAATTATTTGAACCCCACCACTGCTATTATTGGTTTACTGTTTCGACTACCTGAAAAGGCTGACAAGCTTACCAAACCCACCCTATATTACCCCATAAAGTACACCTGCTCTGTGTAATTTCTCTATTTGTATCTTCATTGTTTATGATGAGATTTATAATTCACTTGTGCTCCTTCTCTTCCAGCTGATAGGAGGGAGAGCCCGAGCTGGAGCTATGTTCATGGTCTTCCTTTTGTCAGCGGTTGCTCATGAATACATAATCACCTTCTCTTTTGGCTTCTTCTATCCTATCCTGTTTGTGTTTTATGCCATGATTGGAGGTTAGTATTGCCTCAGGAAATGGACTGAACCTTTCCTCAGAAGATTCAACCAAGTCCCGTAAAAAAATAATGTGGCATGGATTGCTCTTGGTGAACCTTCTTTCATTCTGTTCTACCCTCCTTTGGTTTGGTGTTTCCACACTTCCCAATTGACACATTCATTTGGTAAGTGGGAGTTGCTCCAAATTTATTCAAAATATATTAAGCCAGTGGTCAGGATCTTGTGATGGGTCTTGTGATCCATCTAACACTAAACCCTAACCCATCACAAGAGTCTCAACGTATGTGACCCACATCTAACACCTCACAAGACCCATCACAAGAACCTGGCCTGATGTGACCCTCACCTGTCATAACCTCTCCATCATGATGCCTACTGACATCACAGAGACCTTATAAGCAGAACAAAACTGACATTGACATCTCCAAAATTCCACTAAAGATGTTACCTAGTCTGGTAAGGAAACATTTGGAAACCAACCCACAAACGTGGAGAATGAATCTCCACACCCACCTCATTTACTCTAGATTTACTATTATAATAATTTCAAGTATGCTCAACCTAGAACTGTGTGGCCTACGGTCTGACCTAAGCATAATACACAAAATTATCTGCTACAACGTCCTACCTATCAATGACTACTTCAGCTTCAACCGCAATAATACACGAGCAAACAATAGATACAAACTGAAGGTAAACCGCACCAATCTCGATTGCAGAAAATTCGACTTCGGCAACAGTGGTCAATGCCTGGAATACACTATTTGACTCTGTTGTTACAGCCACAAACCACCATAACTTTAACCTTAAACTGTCTACTGTTGACCTCACCCATTCCTAAGATGTCAGTAAGGCATGCATAAGCACACCAGCGTGCCTAACGTCCCTGTCCTACTGTCCCCATTATTTGTACCCATTTCCTGTCTTCTTTTTCATGTTTATTCTTATTCCTGTTATTTTGTACATGGGTGACAAACTAAATAAATAAAATAAATAAATAAATCATAGCCTTCGTAGGCTGCAGAATCCTGGGAATTATACCCAAAGTGTTTTTTCGAGAGGCAACTTGACTTTCTGGTTTTTCTTTGAAAATATTTCGCTTCTTGTCCAAGAAGCTTCTTCAACTTTGACTGGATGGTGGAGAATGGAAGGTCAACATCCATGGGAATGGACGGCCACCATCCAGTCAGAGCTGAAGAAATTTCTTGGAAGAAAAATGAGAAAGTCCAGTTGCCTCTTGAAAAATCTCCTTTGGGACAACCTTGACCTGGATGACTGAGAATCTCCATAGACAATCCTGGGAATTGCTTGCCTAAATGATTGGAGCTTCCCAAATTGAGGAAGACTAGATAGGAAAAGATTCAAGGCATTATCCTGCCCCCTTCCCCCGATTAGTGGTTCTCAATCTTGGTGACTTTAAGGTATGTGGACTTCAGCTCCCAGAATTCTCCAGGCAGGTATGTGCATTGTATTATTGTCTCAGATGATGCACTTCATGGTTAGGATGGAGGCTGCTTTTTCATACTTGAGAAAGTTATTTTGGTGTAGTATTTTTTTCAAATCTTGCTGGTCATTGACTGAGCAAACAGTGGCTCTTCCCTGAGAAAACTAAGATTCTTCATTCCAATGGGAGAGAAAATATAATCTCAAACATGAACAATTTTATAAATTAAAAAGCAAGAGCAGAAATAAAATCAACTGGAAAATAAAATTTTGCTAATTCAGAAGTCCAATTAACATGGGAATTGCTGTTATTTTAGATTTGGTCATGTGGAATGTTCCTATTGTAGATAACAATTATTAGAAATCAATAAATGAGAGATCTCCTTGCTTCAGTGTGTCCGGAATATACAAAATTAAGCCTTTTTCTGTTTGTCCTCATAGTGTCCTTTCATTTTGTTCTCAATGATAAGAGAAAAGGCCCTTTCTGGAACATCATCATATTGCTATGCCTCCTTTTGGGCTCAGCAATGTTTTTCTCCTTATACTGCCAAGAGTTGTTTGGACAGATCCACTGTCCACTCAAGGAGGTGAGTAGAGAGTTTATGTTGTGGAGTTAGATTCTAATTCTGCTAGTATTGGCAATGGCTAATAGCAGCTCAGGGGATATATTCTGTATCCTAGTGACAGCATAAATAGATCTTCTTGGTGTTGTCTATACCTACTTGTTCTTTCAAGTCTCTCAATGATTCAGTCATAGCCAGTATAACTGACTCCATCTGGTCATCCTTCTCTTTCCTTCCCTCTTTTTTTTCAGTAAGGCATTTGATAAAGTGGACCCGTGATGGCGAATCTATGGCACGTGTGCCACAGGTGGCACGTGGAGCCATTTGTCAGGGCATGTGAGGTATTGCCCTGTCAGCTGGCCAGCATGCATGTGCGCACTGGCCAGCTGATTTCGGCCTTTTGAGGCCATTTTCTGCCCTCCGGAGGTTTCGGTTTGCTCCTAGGGTCAGTTTTAGCCCTCCAAAGCCTTCAGGAGGCTTCCCTGAAGGCTCTGGAGGGCAAAAACCAACCCTATGAGCAAACTGGAAGTCACCTCCGGGTTGCTCGTAGGGATGGTTTTAGCCCTCTGGAGCATTCAGGGGCCTTCAGGAGACTTCCCTGAAGGCTCCAGTGGACAAAAACAGCCCTATGGATAAACCAGAAGTCCATTCCTGAATCTCTGGTTTGCCCGTAGGGCCAGTTTTTCATGCTCCGGAGGCTTCAGGGAAGCTCCTGAAGCCTCTGGAGGGCCTCCAGAGGGGAGGCAGGGGTGGGCTGTTTTTGCCCTCCCCAGGCTCCTATAAAGCCTCTGGAGCCTGGGGAGGGAGCACTGATTGTGCACACATGCATGCTGGGGTCGTGCACAAAGCATTATGGGTGTGGCATGCCCATGCAGGACCCCCTTGCGTCCCCCCCCCCCGCTTTTGGCACACAAGCCAAAAAAGGTTCACCACCACTGAAGTAGACCATAACCTACTATTAGATAAAGTAGAAAAATGTGGGTTAGACAGCATCACCACCATATGGATTTATAACTGGCTCACCAACCACACTCAACGTGTACCATATTTTTCGGAGTATAAGATGTACCGGAGTATGACGCATCAAGATTTTGAAGAGGTACATTTTTTTAAAAAGTTTTTGCCCTCCCCGGCTCCCAGGAGCACTTTGCAGGCATCCTAAACCACCTGCACACCCCTTTTTTGTGAAAAATGGGACATGCAGACAGTTTGGGAGGCCTGCAAAGTGCTTCTGGGGGCCGGGGAGGGCAAAAATGTGGTGTGTGGGGGGCTTCATCTTCTTAAAGAATAAGGCTTTTATCGATCTCAAATCCACTTTTCTCTACCCCTTCCACGGCAGAGCAGGACTAAACATCTCTCTCTGCACTTTATTTTTCCCCCCTTCCCTCGGACTGGCAGTTACGGTGAGCCGCTTGGCTCAAGGAGTGGCAGTCAGCTCGCTTCTTCTCTTCAGCAAGGAGGGGAAGAAATTTCCTGACAGTTAGAACAATTAATCAGTGGAACAGCTTGCCTCCAGAAGTTGTGAATGTTCCAACACTGGAAGTCTTTAAGAAGGTGTTGGATAGCCATTCATCTGAAACGGTATAGGGCAGTGATGGCTAACCTTTATGTGCTCCCGTGCCAAAAGCGGGGGGAGCGCAAGGGGGTTGTGCGCAGTTCTGCCACACCCATAATGCTATCCACACAACCCCCACCCTGCACGTGCATGCACGGACGACCAGCAACACAAACACACATACAAACATGGTTTGGCGCATTTTTTTCACCCTCCCCAGTCTCCAGAGGCTTTCTAGGAGCCTGGAGAGGGCAAAATCACCCCCCCCCCGCTCCCCCAGAGGCCCTCCAGAAGCTTCAGGAGCTTTCCTGAAGCATCTGGTGGGCGAAAAACAGACCTACGGGGAATCTGGAAGTTCAGGAATGGTGACTTCCGGTTTGCTCGTAGGGCTGGTTTTTGCCTTCCGGAGTCTTCAGGGAAGCCCCCTGAAGACTCCAAAGGGCAAAAAAATGGCCTCAAAAGAAGCTGGAGCTGATGGGGCAATGCCCTGCGCGCCCTAACAAATGGTTCCGAATGCCACCTGTGGCACGTGTGACATAGGTTAGCCATCATAGGTATAGGGTTTCCTGCCTGATCAGAGTGTTGGACTAGAAGACCTCCAAGGTCCCTTCCAACTCTGTTATTCTATTCTATTCTCAACATTCTCTATTCCTAGCTTTATTTACCTATATCTACGATAGCTCGAAATAAATATTTATTTGATTTTTATTCTGCTTTTATTTCTGGTCAACTCAAGGTGCTATACATATCTAATGCTCCTGCTTCTTATTTTCCCAACAATAAACATGTGAGATGGGCTGGGCTGAAAGAGAGTGACTGACCCCAAGTCACTGAGCTTACTTTCATCAAGGGAGGCCTAGAACTCACAGTCTCCTGGTTTCTAGGCCAATACCTGAACCAGCATACCAAACCGGCTCTTAAGTTAAATAAGCTCTGTCTCATCACTTTTGGGGAAAACAGAGGCCTGGAATACATATTTGCATGAATGTGGAAACTACAGTAGGTATTGTTAAAAATAAGAGCACAGTGGTTTCAGCTTTTGTTGCTTTCAGATACAAAGAGAGTGATAAAATGGGAGAAAAAAATCCTCTCTAATCTGACTGGAACCATTTAATTAAAGATTGTTTCATTATTCCTTATATTACTTTATTAAGATTGAGTCATCTTTTGGCTCTAAAATATTAAAATACTCCAATCAATAAAAATTAAAGAAAAATATATTTCACATTAGCTGTATTTTGGGGCATTTCAATATGTGAAAAAACACCTGACTCTTACTGATATATGAATGTTACAAAGTTTTTATTGTTTTATTTTCATTTATCTTTATTTTATGGAGCCCTGAACAGGAAAAAAGACCAAATTAAAGGTCCATTGAGAGTTTGAGTTTGAGTTTGAGTTTGAGTTTAT